AAAAAAAAAAAAAAAAAAGAACCACTTCAGTGAGAGAATACAATAAAGAGAAATTGATAAATATTTTTAGGAAATACAAGGTTATTACAGGACAATTTTATGGACACATTCATGGAGATAGCATTATGGTTCTTTCAGACACAAAAGGAAGTCCAATAACTCCTTTGTGGCTCTGCCATTACACCAGTGAAAAATGTTTTAGCAAAACAGACCAATAACCCTGGTATCAGATCCTAGTGATTATAAATTATTGCATATGTTGCAGGATTACGTGCACCTGACTGAGATAAATCTAAAGGGAGAGTCCAAATGGGAGCTGGAGTATAACCTGACCCTGACCTATGGCATCAAAGATTTGTAGCTAGAAAGTTTATATGGATTAACGAAACAATTTGCAATTCTAGAAAGTAAGCAGTTTATAAACGCTACAATTATAAAATAATTCAATTATTTCTTCGTGAGTTATAACATCAATATAATTTACAATGGTATACCTTATGTATGGCCTTTCAAATTTGTGCAAAATAGTATTTCCTGTGATTATCTCAAATAACATTATAGAAAGCACAATCACTGGCTGGGTGATTAGCTCAGCAGTTAGGGCGCCAGCCACATACACTGGGGCTGGCGGGTTCAAACCCAGCCTGGGTCTGCTAAACAACAATGACAACTACCACCAAAAAATAGCCGGGCATTGTGGCAGGTGCCTGTAGTCCCCGCTACTTGGGAGGCTGAGGTAAGAGAATCGCTTAAGCGCAGGAGTTTGAGGTTCCTGGTTGCTGCAATGCCACAGCACTCTACCAAGGGTGACATAACGAGACTCTTGTCTTAAAAAAAGAAAAAAAAGTATAATCACTAGTATTTCACAGTTCATGTTCACAGAAAAGGTAACATTGCTCTGTTTATGGGATCAGCTTGTGGGACTTTTATGTAAGTCTTTGTGAATTACTATGTTGGCAAGCAGAATTCGTGTTTTTACTTTCTTTCTGTGAAGCCTAAATGTAGATATCATTAACATTCTTCATTTTTATAATATTGACTACATTTAAACTTGCCATTAATAGAATGGTGCTTGAATACAAATATCTTTTTCTATAACATAAATATCTTAACTTCCAGTTTATATAATTATAGATATAATACCCTTGCCGAAATTGTGATTTATACAATAAAGCAAAGAACTTCTCCCTAGGGGGAGAAAAACAGATATTCACTGCTGGGAAAATGAAAGGCTCTGACACTTTTTTTTTTTTGACCAGGGCCAGGTTTGAACCCGCCACCTCTGGTATACAGGACCAGCACCCTAATCCTTTGAGCCACAGGCGCTGCCTGAGGTTCTGACACTTTGACGAACAGTTTAACATAATGTGGAAAGATATACCTCCAAGAGTTAAAAAAAAAAATTTATTATATCCCAAATAAGAGATTATACAAAAAATCTGAAGTCTTTCATGGACTAAAAGTATACTTTTTGACTCTGCATATAAAGAGTGCAAAAGTCCCAGTGAGAGGGAACACAAAAGAGGTTTGTGAGGTGCTATGTATTCTGTTTCTTCATCTGTGTACAAAGTACAGGTCACAGGGATGTGCTCACTTTTCTTCAAGTATATATTATACTTTAGTAATAAATTTAATATCCATTTCGTGAACAGAAGAAAGAGAAAACAAAGGAAAGCCAGCAAAATAGACAAGCCAGGAGGTAGGAAGGGTGGCTAGGAGGGCCCTATTACAGCTGGATCCCATTTCATCCCATTTCTCCAAACTATAATGACAGTCCAGACTACTATCAATATATTCCTTGTTTCCACTTGGTGCCTATAGCTCAGTGGTTAGGGCACCAGCCACATACATGGGAGCTGGCGGTTTTAAATCCATCCCAAGCCTGCCAAACAACGACAACTAAAACCAAAAATAAAAAAATAGCCGGGCATTGTGGCGGGCACCTATAGTCTCAGCTACTTGGAAGGCTGAGGCAAGAGAATAACTTAAGCCCAAGATTTTGAGGATGCTATGAGCTGTGATGCCACCACACTCTACCCAGGGCAACATAGTAAGACTCTGTCTTATATACACACACACACACACACACACACATATATTTATTGTTTCCTATAAAAACCATGATCCTTTTCAGACCAACACAAATACAAGGGGATGATAATCAAAAACAAATCTTCTCTTAATTATTCCAAAAGGACTCTTGTCTCTTTCAAAAGAAATGCTAAAAATATGTGTATTTTTTATTACAACCATCCTGGTGGATTTGAACTATATCTCATTATATTATATTTTGATTTGCATTTCTCTAATGGCTTATAGTGTTGAGTATATTTTCCTGTGATTACTGATCCTTTGTAAATCTTTGGAAAAATGTCTCCTCATTGGATCACATATACATTCTTTAGTTCCTTGGACCTAAGATGTATAATCAGACATAAATCAGAACAGGGTGTGAGTTATACATATAAAACCATCTAATGAAATACCTATTCTCAACTTTAGTAAACCAATATAAATTACTCTCCTTTCTTGTTTCTTCATCTAAGAATAAAAAAAAAAAAACAGTTTCAAAGAAAAAAATCACAATAATTTTTTTTTTTTTTTGGAGACAGAGTCTCACTTTGTCGCCCTCGGTAGAGTGCCATGGTGTCAAAGCTCACAGCAACCTCCAACTCTTGGGCTTAGGTGATTCTCTTGCCTCTGCCTCCCGAGTAGCTGGGACTACAGGCGCCCACCACAATACCTAGCTATTTTTTGTTGCAGTTGTCACTGCTGTTTTAGGTGGCCGAGGCCAGGTTTGAACCCGCCACCTTTGGTACATGGGGCTGGCACCCTACCCACTGAGCCACAGGCGCCACCCCACAATCACGTCTACTATAGACATTTATGTAACATTCTCTCCACAATGTCAGAAACTTAGCACACATCAACCAAGGGGGAAAAATGCAGAACTAGAGGAAAGGTTAAAATACCAAGAGTCCACTAACCTTAACCCATTGAATAGCTGCTTAGATTTATCCAGAAGATAACAAAAATCTGTAACTGTTTTCCTCTCTCCCTGTGGGATATCATCTTCAGCACCTCCAGAGGACATGATTTCTTTTAGAGCAAATTCAGTCCTGTAAGAAAATATATGTTCATTCACCTGTTACATAAAAATAAAAAGAGAAACAGACCTTAGTTATATCATATACCATCTGATAGTGTTTTCTCCCCCTAAGAATTCTTCTGATTATTATTTTTCTTAATTTTAATTCTTTCTTTCTTTCTTTTTTTCTTTTTGGTTGCAATTTTTGGCTGGGGCTGGGTTTGAACCCACGGCCTCCAGCATATGGGGCCGATGCCCTACTCCTTAATACAGAGGCACCACCCAATTCTTCTGATTATTACCAAATCATCAAAATAATGTAAGTGTAAGATTTGTGGGGAAATAATCTCTTGTCATTGGTAGGAATAAAAATTGGTATTCTTTCAGCTAATAAACATTTGAGTACCCAGTATGTTCTGGGCACTCCTCTATAGAATTAACAATCTAAAAATATTGATTCTTTTCACCTATATGTCCTTTTGATTCATTATGCAAATCTATCAGGGTAAGTGATTCTACAAATAGAAAATGCATTATCCATACTTACTTCAATCAGTATCATAACATTTATAAACTGAAAACAACCTAAAGGCCCCAAAGAGGGAAACAGTTATTAAGTACTTCACAGAATGCTAACCAATGTACTCTATCCTAGCACTAATGTACAATTATATTTAAGAAGGAGAGGCAATAAGGACACATCAGTATAAAAAGGATATAAAATCACACACACACATAAACAGAGGTATATATTAAAATTATATTTGGCTAGGAATGGTGGCTCATGCCTATAATGGGAGAACTTTGGGAAGCTGAGGCAAAAGGATCACTTAAGGACAGGAGTTCTTAAGCCTGAGCAAGAGGGAGACCCCACCTCTACAAAAAACAGAACAATTAATTGGCCTTGAGAGTACACGCCCACAGTCCTGGTGACTGAGGCAAGAGCATCACTTGAGCCCAGGAGTTTGAAGTTGCAATGAGCTACTATGAAGCCACTGCATTATAGCCTGGCAATAGAGTAAGACTCTAACTCTATTTATTGAATCCAAACTTTCTCCATATATAATCAATATTAATCAGCCATTTTAAAAAACAGTAAGTTGCCAGCCAGTATGTATGGCATGAACCTAAACTAAATTTTAAAAATTAATTTTGTTCAAACATTAAACTAATCTGCACAATATGATATCTTCCCACACTATAATAGTTGGAGATGCTAACACCCCATTGGCAGTACTAGATAGATCCTGCAAGCAGAAGCTAAACAAAGAAATAAAATGACTTAAACAAGACCTAGAACAAATGGACTTAACATTTATAGAACACTTTATCGTAACAAAACTGAATACACATTCTTCTCATCGGCCCACAGGTCATCTTCCAAAATTGATCATATCTTAGGTCACAAGGCTAACCTCAACAAATCCAAACAACTAGAAATTATCCCCTGTATCTTGTCAGACCATCACGGAATAAAAGTTGAACTTGACAGCAACAGAAATCTTCATAGTGGGTGGCACCTGTGGCTCAAAGGAGTAGGGCACCGGCCCCATATACTGGAGGTGGTGGGTTCAAACCTGGCCCTGGCCAAAAACTGCAAAAAAAAAAAAAAAAAAAGCAATCTTCATACTCAAATAAAATCACGGAAACTAACCTTACACTGAATGATAGTTGGGTCATAGACGAGATCAAGAAGGAGATCATTAGATTTCTGGAACAAAATGATGATGACACAAACTATCAAAACCTGTGGGTATACTGCAAAGGCAGTCCTTAGACAGAAATGTATAGCATTAGATGCCTTCATCAAGAAAACAGAAAGAGGCTCAGTGGCTGTAGCACAGTAGTTATAGCACCAGCCACATGTACCAAGGCTGGTTGGTTCCAACCCAGCCTGGGCCAGCTAAACAACAATGATAACTGCAACAAAAAATAGCCAAGCATTGTGGCAGGCACCTGTAGTCCCAGCTACTTGGGAGGCTGAGGCAAGAGGATCACTTAAGCCCAAGAGTTTAAGGTTTCTGTGAGTTGTGATGCCATGGCACTCTACCGAGAGTGACATAGTGAGACTCTGTCTCAAAAAAATGATAAAGGATAAATAACAGATGCCACAGAAATACAAAAGATTCTCAATAATTACTATAAAAAAAACTCTATTCTCAGAAACACGAAAATGTAGAGGAGATGGACCGATAACTGGAAGCACAATACCTTCCAAATCTCAGCCAGAAAGATTCAGAAATCTTGACTAGACAAATATCAAGTACTAAAATAGCATCAATTATACAAAATCTCCCAAAAAAGAAAAGCCCTGAACCAGATGGTTTCACAACAGAATTCTATCAAACCTTCAAAAAGGAACAAGTTTCTATAATGTATAAACTTTTCCAAAATATAGAGAAAGAAGGAATCCTCCCCAACACATTCTATGAAACAAATACCACCCTGATCCCCAAACCAGGAAAGGACCCAACAAAAAAAGAAAACTATAGACCAATATCATTAATGAATACTGATGTAAAAATATTCAACAAGTTGGCTCAGCACTCATAGTACAGTGATTAGGGCGCTGGCCACATGCACTGGGGCTGGTGAGTTCGGGCCTGCCAAACAACAATGACAACAACAACAAAATAGCTGGGCATTGTGGTGGGTGCCTGTAGTTCCAGCTACTTGAGAGGCTGAGGCAAGAGAAAGGCTTAAGCCCAAGAGTTTGAGGTAGCTGTGAACGGTGACGCCATTGTACTCTACTGAGGGTGACATAGTGAGACTCTGTCTCAAAAAAAAAAAAATTCAACAAGATATTAGCAAACATGACTGCATTAATGTACACAGCGATGATTTAATAAAAAAAAAAACTACAAAAAAACTTTCAAAAAAAGATACTAGCAAACAATATAACAGCACATTAAAAAGGTTATAAACCACGATCAAATCAATTTTATCACAGAAACACAAGGTTGGTTCAACATACACAAATCTATAAAGATAACACACCACATAAATAGAATCAAAAACAAAGACCATATGATTCCTTCAATTGATGCAGAAAAGACTTTTGACAATATCCAACATTCTTTAATGATACAAACACTCAAGAAAACAGGCTTAGAAGGAACATTCCTTAAGCTGATAGAGACTATCTACAGCAAACCCACATCCAATATCATATTGAATGGAGTAAAACTGAAATCATTCCCACTCAAATCTGGAACTAGACAAGGATGCCCACTGTCTCCACTGCTATTTCAGTGTTGGAAGTATTAGCCATTGTAATCAGGCAACAGAAGGAGATCAAAGGAATCCAAATGGGGACAGAGCAGGTCAAACTCTCCCTTTTTGCAGATGACATGATCTTATACCTAGAAAAACCCAGGGATTCAACTACAAAGCTCTTAGAAGTGATCAAGGAATATAGCAGCATCTCAGGGTACAAAATCAATATCCACAATCTGCAGCCTTTCTGTATGTCAACAAAAAATCAAAGACTCTATTCCTTTTACAATAGCACCAAAGCAGATGAAATACTTGGGACTATATCTAACTAAAGACACAAAAGATCTCTACAAAGAGAATTATAAAACTTTGAGAAAGGAAATATCAGGAGATGTCAACAAATGGAAGAACATACCATGCTCACGGCTGTGAAGAAACAACATCGTTAAAATGTCCACACTACCCAAAGCAATCTATAGATTTAATGCAATCTCGATCAAAGCACCAATGTCATACTTTAAAGATCTTGAAAAAATAGTACTTTGATTCAATAGAACCAGAAGAAAACCCGAATAGCAAATACAGTTCTTAGAAATAAAAGCAAATCTGAAGGCATCACGTTGCCAGCCTTCAGGTTATATTACAAGGTTATAGTGATCAAAACAGCATAGTACTGGTACAAAAATAGAGATATAGATCTATGGAATAGGATAGAGAAACTAGAGATAAACCAAGTCACATATCCTCATTTAATCTTTGATAAGCCTAACAAAAACATGCAATGGGGAAAAGAATCCTTACTTAACCAATGGTGGTGGGAGAACTGGTTATCCATATACAGAAGATTGAAACTGGACCTCTCACCATTGACAAAAATTGATTCTCCTTGGATAAAAGATTCAAATTTAAGACATGAAACAATAAAAATTCTAGAAGAGAGTGTGGGGAAAAATTGGAAGATATTGGCCTGGGAAAAAACTTTATGAGGAAGACCCCCCCCAACAATTGCAGCAACACCAAAAATAAATAGTTGGGACTTGATCAAGCTAAAAAGCTTCTGTACAACTACGAGTACCATAAACAGAGCAAACACACAGCCCTCAGAATGGGAGAAGATTTTTGCATGTTATGAATCTGACAAAGGCCTGATAACCAGAATCTACAGAGACCTCAAATTAAACATTAAGAAAAGTACAAACGGCCAGGCGCCTATAGCTCAACCGGCTAAGGCGCCAGCCACGTACACCTAAGGTGGCAGGTTCGAATCCCCAGCCCGGACCCGCCAAACAACAATGACGGCTGCAACCAAAAAATAGCTGGGCACTGTGGCAGGCGCCTGTGGTCCCAGCTACTTGGGAGGCGTAGGCAGGAGACTCGCTTGAGCCCAGGAGTTGGAGATTGCTGTGAGCTGTAATGCCACGGCACTCTACCCAGGGGGAAAGCTTGAGGCTCTGTCTCAAAAAAAAAAAAAAAAAAAAAAAAGAAAAGTACAAACAGCCCTCTCTATAAGTGAGCAAAAGATCTGAACAGAAACTTCTCTGGGATGACAGACGAATGGCCAACAAACACATGAAAAAATGTTCGTCTTTAATCATCAGAGAAATGCAAATCAAAACCACTCTAAGATATCACCTAACTCCAGTAAGATAAGCCCACATCACAAAGTCCCAGAAGACCAAATGCTGGTGTGGATGTGGAGACAAGGGAACACTTCTACATTGCTGGTGGCATTGCAAACTAATATAGCCTTTTTGGAGAGAAGTAGGGCAAATCCACAAAGATCTAAATGTAGACCAATACCATTACAAGGTATCT